AAATACAGAGAGGCTTTTTATGTTAGTAATAGATTGGAGCACTCTCTATTCATTGGTTAATTTGGTTAAATGGTGGGAGTCACCCCGTGAATGTTATCAACCAGGTGAATGTAATTAACCAGCACTAGGGTTTTAAAAGGTTAGCCTCTGAAGACATGAGGAAATCTAACAGCTGGGAAAGAAGAGGCAGTTAAGCCTGAGACTGAGAAAAAGGTACTGTGTGAAACCTGCTTAAAGTGCAGTATTTCATTTTGTTTAAAACTGGGAACCAGATTAGCTGGCCAGTTGAGTAGTTAGTAATACTGTTGTTTAGTAAGTCTCCATGTTGGAGTAGGATTTATTTTCTTTTTGTTTTATTTTTGTGGGAGAGCACAACCTTGTATACTTTGTGGAAAGTGACAATAAACTGCAGTACTATTTTATTGTGACTGTTGCATTTGAAGTTTATTGTGAAGAGCCTGGCCATCCTGCCACAGTATTCATATATGTATTAGAATTGATTGAAACACTATATCTGATAAATGGATACATCCCTGACATAAAGGTTCTCCCTTGAGGTTTGTGAGCTGATTGATTGATTTTAGGAAGCAGAATATATTCAATAATTTGACTTTAAACAAAAAGGGAAATCTGTAGTACTCCAATGCATGGACTAGACTTTAGATTCTAACAATGTTTGTGTCATTCCATTATACAGTGAAAAGTTTTATTTAGATAGCACATTCAAAATATACCTTCCCTTGAATGTTCTCATTTGAGTCAAATCCTTGGTATGTGAAGTTTCTGCAATTAAGTCTGAAGGCATCAGAAAGTGGATAGGAATGAATTAAACCCATGGCTAGGTCTGCTGCATTTAAGAAACTGATCGTGTGTCCTCTATGAGGGAACTGTATGCATTATATAAATCCTACCATACCATAGTTTCAAACATAAAATGGGATTTTTTTTCCTTCAATGTCTTACTATTGCCCTTGGCAGGAATAGACAAGAGACTGAAGCTAAGGGGCAAGTGTGTCTAGCTATTTGTGGGAAAAACCGTGGCATAATGCAAAAAATTATAGAATAGTGAGCATTATGTGATTGTAAACCTAAAGAAATTAGCAATGCTTTTTTAATATACAAAAGCACTAATTTAGTACCATAGATGTAAAAATATTCACCAGAATTTGATTTTGCTATTTAAAATAAATATATTTAATTTCCAAAATATTGAAATCTAGACTGCAAGAAATGTCTGTTCTTGTGTCAGAAGCTGTGCCATATTTTATGCAAAGTTCACATTACTCCGCCAACCTGCATGTAAATATGGCCAGCAGCATTATATACAGCTACAGGCAGGGTCTCACTAAATGCAGGGACCCTGCTCACTATTCTAATTATGTTCCTGAGTGTGTTAACATCTCAGTGATCGATAATGTCAAGGACTAGTTCCCCTTTGCATGTATTTTCTTTGAGTTAAGATTTATGTGGTAAATTCTTATCTGGATTACTGTTAAAATACAGATTCTGTTACAAATTACATATACAAAATCTACAATGGAAATCAGGTGGAGTCCGGCAACTATAGGCCAGTAAGCCTTGCTTCAATAGTGGGAAAAGTAATGGAAACCATGTTAAAGGTTAGGATTGTTGACCATCTAAAATCACATGGATTCCAAGATCTTGCTGTGCAATCTCTACTCTGTAGACGCTCTCCTTAAACGGATTGTTTGCTTTGCCTTACGCGCTTCGTAGGAAACAGCCCTACTTTATCAGAGGCTTCTGATGAAGTAGAGCAGTACCCTACGAAATGCGTAAGCAAGAATTTACTATCGCCTGTGATCCCAGACCCGACACCGACATAATCCAACAAGACCGGAGTTCACCTCTCGATGTTAGACGCAAGGGGATACGCACGCCGCCCTCACTGGCTGCTGGAACACAGAGAGGACACCAACCACTACAATTCTCATCCATCCGGGTCTGGAATACAGGTTATCTTGCTTTTTTCATCCTCTGCACATCGGACTATAATCCTGATCGTTATTTTTCATATTTGGAACTGCTTTTTATATTTGAACTGCTTTTTAATCTTTATTGAATAAATTAACCTGTTTGAAAAGACAAGTCACTTTTTTTTATATATTTTTTTATATTTCTTTTTATATATTTTATTTAACTGCTATATTTTGGTATTCTTTTCACATTGTGTCACCAAAGAGTTTAATTTGGGCTATCAGTTCCTTGTTCTAATATGCCCGGTCACACACTTCCAATAATATATATATATATATATATATATATATAATTATTTTTTTTTTATTTTTTTTTCTTCATTAATAACATATATACTGATAAGCCCTGTGTTGTTCTCACAAGCAGGGCTAAGGTTATTTATTATATAAATCAAGGACTCATAGATCTCTCTTCTTTTTTCTGTTATACCCACTTGTGGCTATCATGATCTTACACTTCACAAGGCTATCCTAACTACCAGACAAGGCCAGGGATTAACAAAAGTATTTAGAAAATTGGGCAGAGTAGATGGGCCGATGGTTCTTATCTGCTGTCACATTCTATGTTTCTATGTTCATATGAAAGCTATTATGGAACTGAAGAGACACTTAATATTTTTTTTCCAGATTTTTGACTTACAAACTTTTCCTCAGAAAAAAAAATCTTAGTGTTTCTAAACTACTGCAAATAAATCTCTTCCACACATAAAAACTGTCGGGGCACTGACCCAAGTGCCCTTATGGATGAACCCCCACTGTTTTTAAAGTGTATATAGTGGAATTGAAGGAGTTTGATCATTCAGGTATTTTTGAAATTTCTTTCCTCTTTATAGCAGCTACATTGTAACCTGACGTAAGACTCTGTGAACTCTGTGTACTCTAATGCATAAAATTAGCTAGATTAAGTCCAAGACCTATAGCAAACAAAAAAAAGATTCTCTGACTCTATTTTTAAAAATAACAATACGCTAGGCATTTATCAGCCCATAACAAAAATGGCCACATTAAAAATGGCTTCAGCTTAGTGGGGGTATAAGAGTGGATTACAAGGGACTTGGAAAATTCAACATATCGCTAGAGATGTCGCGAACCGTCCGCGAACTTCTCGCCGCCGCTGCCTTCAACATGGATGCTGTCCAGGAAGTAGGAGGGTCTGGGAGGGAGGGTCTGCTGGAAATTGGCCAGGATGTGTCAGCTGACCGGAGTTCGCCGCGAACGGTTCGTGGCGAACCGCGGCGAACCGTTCGCGAGAAGTTCGCGGACGGTTCGCGACATCTCTACATATCGCAGGGAAAACCCATCACTTGCAATATGCAGAGACCACTTCCTGTGTGCCATTTTGTTTCTAAATCCAAACAACAAGAATTAGACAGTGTTACATGATCTTGGCCAGCGCTGCAGGAGCTGATGGAGTGATTCTATAAATGTTAACTAAGCTAGGAACATGTCTGGGACATAACCTGATAAATGGAAGGTTGTAGTTACAGGTTGTATTAACCAGGTCTCATTTATAGAGGAACCAGAAATCCTAGCTGGCTAGGGGGGGGAAGTGGTTGCCCCACTCACTTAGCTGAGTTGTACACTGACCTGGTTAGGCCACAATGACGAATGTAGTAGATCTAAAATCTGCTATAAATAAAGTTTGATATTAACAAAATAGTGTAGTCTCTTGTCCTCTTGTCGTCTTTAGACTAAATACATGACTACTTAGATATATATATATATATATTGTAATGACAAACACATTTAGAGTTCAATGCATTTTTTTTTTCATTTTTAAACAGTGTATGTATATCCTTTTATTCAGTTATGACATGTTTGACATTTTTTATGACACAGGAGACATGCTTATGCAGTACTTTCTTTTTCAAAGGCCAGATTTCCCTTAGGGCCAAATGACAGTGACATAAAGGATAGACCCTTCCGGCATGTAGAAGTTGATGACTGTTAAAAATGTCACTGCGATTAGAAGTCCAGGCATCTGGAAAGGGACTGTTTAATCTCTAGTATTACATTCAAAATATAAAAAATTATCAACTGAACTGTGTGTTTTTTTTTTATTTTTTTATTTTTTTTTTAGGCAGTGGCATTAAATCTACTGCGAAATGTATTTACCTTTCTCTTAATGGTTTATTGTACTAAAATAAATCATGGAGAAAAGAATTAAGAGTTATGACAGTGTTTGATTAGATAATATGCACCAGATTGATGGCTGACAGCATTGTAGATGGTGAAATCTGGCAATCATCATTCTATCTGACCTTGCTTAATGAAAATCAGTAGAAATTGACAGTTCAAGAGCCCTTTTTTTAGCACCAACATTTTAGGGGCACATCAGTTCTTATAAATAATTACTGTCTTAATCCTTCTCTCTCTGATATCAAAGAGGTTTTTGTGTTAATACACCCAAGATCCCAGATAAGTCAGCAAACCTACAAGATCAGTCACTAAAGGGAGAATTCAAAGTGAATTTCAAATTTAAGGTCAAAATAATAAATGGGAAAAATCTCTAAATCACCCAGTTCAGCTACTCTATCCTCAAATTTGAAATTCACTTTGAATTATCACTTTAGTAAATAACCCTGTCAGTCTCTGATATAACTTCACATCCATCAAAAAGAAAAAATAGCCAACAATACTAAGCCAAAAAAACACATAAAATCACTATAAATTCGGCGATCAGATGAATTTACACACTCTGAGATAAACTGTACCCAAATCATGAACCAAGCAAGCCATAAATGCTGAATATGTGATTCTGAATTCTGCTTGTGGTGTCAAAAAAAATAGATCATTAATGGCAAAAACAGGTGATTGATCACTAGGCTAGGTGACAGTCATTAAATGTTGATTTTATTCACAGATGAAGTGAGAAGCAACCAAGAGAGGGGAAAAAAGAAGGAACACATAAAAGCAATGTCTGGAGTTTCCTTTTTTATCTGTAATTTATTTATTTTTTTAACCAATCAGTTTTTATTGAGATAATAAAGTGTATGGGGTACAGAAGGAAAAAAGGATAACATTCGGGGTTATACAGATCAGATATGGCCGCATACATTACATCCCGTCTCTAGGCTCTTATCAGTCACCTTAGTTAGAGAGTAAGGGTAACTAATAACTTTTAGCCAACTGTAACATGCCCTACATTAAAGCCCTTGTGGGAGAAGGCTTTTAGTTGTGGGCTGCCTTCCTGGTGGAACGCTCTCCTTGTTTCATGTTATCTCGCATTTATGCAAAAGTGTAAGCTACTTATATAGTTGAAGGGTGTTTGGTCAGCATAGGTCGGGGGTCAGGTCGGAGTCGTGGCGGAAATTCTCTCCATTTTGTCAAGTTGGGAAGGTGTCCCCTAGCTAATGGACCAATCTAGTGGTCGGGCGTGGTGCAGTCATGGCATATTAGTGCTGGGTGGGGCGTGCCAGCTCCCAGCCCACCATGTCGGATTTTGTATGGTTGCGTACTTGTTGGGTTGGTCAGGGTACCCGGTGTGTGACGTCTGTCCGCCCCACCCGTTAGGCATGACTGTGTTCCCGGTCCAGGGTTCGGCTCTAGTAGCTGTCCCCCTCTAGTGTGCCCCCCCTCCCACGCCCCACATAGGTGTAATTTTATTTTATTTTTGTTTAATTTGTTATTATTTACTGCAATTCCCAAATCTGTTATACTTACAAGTCCACGACATAATGAATGTACATTATACATAGTATGCATACTCAGTAGCATATATATATTCTAAATAAAAATCCCAATGTATAAAATATTAAAGTTTGAAAATCAATAACAGTAGAACAAACAAGACGACAGCTGCTTGTGCCACCAAGCAGGGAAGGGAAATTATGCAGTCTGAGTAGTCTGTTAAGTGCTACAATAATATGGTGACATTACACACACAATAAACAAAATTTCTTAACGCTCAATGACCAATTAACCAAAGCCCTGCTGTGACATTTGAAGATAGTTAGCCCTAGAATTACTGACTGAAAGGGGCAGACCCATGGAAAGGATAAATCAAACACTGACTTAATAACGTCTTTCCTGAAAAATAAGACACGGTCTTATATTAATTTTTCCCCAAAAAAATCCACTAAGGCTTATTTTTGGGGGATGTCTCATTTTAGGGAAAAACGTGTGCTAGAAAGCAGGTCTATGTTCAGGGGAATTCCCCCAAACATAGACCATTTCACTATAGCATTGAATCCTGCAAATCTATGTTCGGGGAAACTTTACAAACCTAGATTAGCTTACTCGCTAATAAAATACAACAAATCTATGTTCGTGGAAACTTCCCTGAACATAGATTAATTTACTCTCGAGTGGAATACCGCGAATCTATGTTTGGGTATATTTCCCTGAACATAGATTAGCTTACTCGCTAATAGAATACCGTGAATCTATGATCGGGGAAACTTCCCCGACCAAAGATCAGTTTACTCGTGAATGGAATACCGTAAATCTATGTTTGGGTGTATTTCCCCCGAACATAGATTAGCTTACTCGCTAATGAAATCCTGCAAATCGATGTTCAGGGAAAATTCCCCTAACATAGTTAGCGAATGACTAGGGCTTACTTTTGGGGTAGGGTTTATATTCGGAGCATCCCCCAAAAATAAGCTAGGACTTATTTTAGGGGGATGTCTTATTTTCGGGGAAACAAAGTAGAAAAGAAAATTATAAAAATTTTAGGGGTCAAATCTACAGAAACTTTTTTCCCTCTACTCTGTAAAAACCCATCTTCCAACTTCACCCATCTCCTTGACAACCTCTCTCACACAATTGTTCATCCCTATCGGTCCCTGGCCCATCCCCAGGCCTTGTCCAATGTGACAACCAGGCTCCCCATACTTTAAGGTACTTGTGCCTCAGTCCCCTAGCTGACCAATGCAGCTCCTCAAGGCTGTATCCATTGTGCCAGTGTGGGAACTTTAGTTTGTCTCCATAGGGTGGGAATAAGTGCATTGGCCTTACCTAAGAGTCCACAAAAATTCTGGTTGCTTAAATCTTGAAGTGAGTGTGGCCAACCTAATATCTCTGAGGATGTAAGTGAAGAAAAATTGGGGGGGGGAATTTTAAGGGTATCGATCACGTTTTCCCAGAAAGGTCGTATAACTCTAACATTGCCAAGACAGGTGAAGAACAGAGCCCTCCTCTTCATGACATCTCCAGCACATAATACTCAGTTCTGGGAAATGTTTATGTGGGAAAACTGAGGTTTTATACCACAGCAGCACTATTTTATAGAATGTTTTCATTCTTTGTAAGTGAAATAACAGCTACATAATTGTACCTAGTATATAAGTTCAGTCCTTAACCGAAATTTGGATGCTTAAGAATGAGTACCATTTCCATTGGAAGTGGGGGAGTTTCCTTTTTAATTATTGGGGCCACAAAAAAATGCATACATGGCAAAAACAGAGCAATAAGTAGGAAAATACAGAGAATGAGCAAGTCTCAAATAGTTGTAGCTCACGTGTGCGATTACAGAAGGAACCATTCCAGCTGCATATCAAACTGATATGAAATGAAAGGACTTTTCCTATCCTATTAAAAATTCTAATGTGCTTTTAAAGCAAAGTACAATACATGCAGACATGCTGAGTTTTACAGACATAAACTTGTGCGGATGTTTGTCTTTCATAAATTAATATCTTGGTGTTGTGGATCTTCTGCCTGGATTCCTCCTTCTCCTCTTTCCCATACATGTAGTCCACCTCTGCTACAAGAGTGGGTAAAGTAGTATCAATGAGCCATCCAGAGTCACCACCAAATTCTGATGATAATAGTGAGGCCCATATTTTTAAGGGAACACCCTGCTGTTGCCATCTAGCAGCGTCAGCCAGTTTGTAAAAGACTGGAGTATTAAGTAGTGGGTAGCCATTTTAGATCCTGTAAATGTGGTCAGCTTTAGTCAGTCATACAAATGCTACAAAGACAAGACGGATAAGAATTAGTACACAGATGTCATAACGCTAACTTTTGCAGTACGTTTTTTTACCACTGCTCTCAATGACAATGTACACCTAGGTTTTTATATGACTATAAAATGAAGGGAGGGTTATAAATGCAAATACTGCAGGGCTGCACTTTACATGGTATAGGTGTAAAGTATGCATTTGTAAGTAGTGTTGCTAAATCATATCTTGATTCTGATGTACATTAAGTTTCCTTTTCCTACTTGATGTTACTTTTCCTTGCCATAGTTATTATTCTCAATCATCTCTGTCCCTGCGTTGCTGGCAGTATTTTATGAACGGCTGTGTGAATGTAGGTCATTGATAATTCTGCAGCTGTAATCTGACACAGGCGTCGATTATTTATCAGCCTATATATTTTATCTTGTGTCAATAAGCTTTTATTTAATTTTTTTTAAACTTGTTGCATTAAAAGCTTATAGTTTCCGATAATATTGATTTTCATGAAATCTAGAAAATTAATATTATACTTTGTATTGAATTATCAGTTTTAGCAATTCAGTGCCATTTACTGAGTAAATAATTATATGCCCACTTCAGAACTAGCAGCCAGCAAGCAAATATATATATTTTTAATGTCTTTGGGTGTCAATATAACCCCACATTAGGATCCGCGAGATTTAAAGCCTCCCCTATGCTCCCAATTGCCATGCTGTAAGTGGGAGAAAGACAACCAGAGGCTGCTTGCTGTTTGCTGTTTTAATGTCAGAAATTGTCTCTCCAAAATGTATTAGAATAAAAAAGAAATGCATTTAAAAACAAATACCATGAGGTCTGTTCACTATTAACACTCTTATTGAAACCCATATGCAGAGTCATCGAGGGGAACCATAACTAAGGAGGAGTCAGATATATAGCAGAATAATGTATTGTGGGGTAGAGGATGTGTATATTTGAGTATATGTGTATATGTGCATACATCTCAGCATTTCACCAACACTACACACAAATACACCACTGCATCCAAATATCAACACTACATAAAACACACCACATACTCAAAAAACACTGCTCAATGCTAAATACATTTTTTTTAAATGTGTGGGTGTTTTTTACACTTTAAAATTGGGGGTGGGGGGCGGGGGAGGTGGGGGGCGGGGGAGGTGGTTTGCCAAATATAAGATCCACCACAGGTGCCAAATGCTCCAGGTACGCCCCTGTCAACAAGCCTCTAGCCCTGTAAGAGTAGGGCCAAGGGACACCCATTCATTTAGTCCTATTAGAGAGAGCACCCAATCCCTCTTGGCAAAAGCATGAAATGCCCTCTATCAACCAACCCACCATCTATAAAACCAGTGGATTCCTAGCCCATTGGACCCACAAATGTTCAACTACTCCACACGTCGGTTCCCAAACCTACCATTGCCCCATAAAGATGATCCCCTGCCACTCTAATAAGTATTATTACTGAGTATATAGCATACAAAAATAAAACATTTAAAGAGAATTGTTTTATAATTACCTGTCATAGCCTTGATTGGAAATCTACCATTAACGTCCATTTCTTTCTTTGTTCTCCAGCCGTAATATATGGCCAAAATAAAATCCACTATAAGTACTCTTACTAAGAAAATAATACGAAACCTGATCACAGAAAATAATGTTTAAAAATAAAAAAAATCTGTAAAAATCCAAGTAAGTATAGATATAAGTAGATGTTCTGTATATTGTGACAGTATAAGAGAAATCATAGTAATGGGAAGGCACTTAGGATCCTGAATCCTACAGTGTGTGTACTCTCCTCAGAGACAGCCGATTAGCAACACCTGAACTTTATTGGGAAATGGATTTAAAAGGTCAAATCAGGCTTAACGCTGAACTATTATACCTCTCAAGATGCTGTACCAAAGGTAACCATACACTTGTTTTTGTTTAAACTGTGTATTTACTTCATAATGTCTGGACCTGCAGACGGATTATTCACCCAGGTAATATTCAAGGGTGAGTTTTGAACAGTCTGTATCCTAGAGAAAGCTGCCGTTTCTTTTCTTTATGTTTTGTTTATTTAACCTGATAAATGCGTGTTTAAAGTTACAAATAAATACCGTAGAAAAATACCTCACCACAAGTACCTGGCACAGATACAGACAGAGGAGATAGAAACATAGAATGTGACGGCATATAAGAACCATTCGACCCATCTAGTCTGCCCAATTTTCTAAATACTTTCATTAGTCCCTAGTCTTATCTTATAGTTAGGATAGCCTTATGCCTATCCCACGCATGCTTAAACTCCTTTACTGTGTTAACCTCTACCACTTCAGCTGGAAGGCTATTCCATGCATCCACTACCCTCTCAGTAAAGTAATACTTCCTGATATTATTTTTAAACCTTTGTCCCTCTAATTTAAGACTATGTCCTCTTGTTGTGGTAGTTTTTCTTCTTTTAAATATAGTCTCCTCCTTTACTGTGTTGATTCCCTTTATATATTTAAATGTTTCTATCATATCCCCCCTGTCTCGTCTTTCCTCCAAGCTATACATGTTAAGATCCTTTAACCTTTCCTGGTAAATTTTATCCCGCAATCCATGAATCAGTTTAGTAGCCCTTCTCTGAACCCTCTCTAAGGTATCAATATCCTTCTGAAGATACGGTCTCCAGTACTGTGTACAATACTCTCTTTCTACTGCTAATACCTCTCCCGATACAACCAAGCATTCTGCTAGCATTTCCTGCTGCTCTATTACATTGTCTGCCTACCTTTAAGTCATCAGAAATAATCACCCCTAAATCCCTTTCCTCATATGTTGAGGTTAGGACTCTATCAAATATTCTGTACTCTGCCCTTGGGTTTTTACGTCCAAGATGCATTATCTTGCACTTATCCACATTAAATGTCAGTTGCCACAATTCTGACCATTTTTCTAGTTTACCTAAATCATTTGTCATTTGGCTTATCCCTCCTGGAACATCAACCCTGTTACATATCTTAGTATCATCAGCAAAAAGACATACCTTACCATCAAGACCTTCTGCAATATCACTAATAAAAATATTAAAGAGAATGGGTCCAAGTACAGATCCCTGAGGTACCCCACTGGTGACAAGTCCAAGCTTCGAATATATTCCATTAACTACAACCCTCTGTTGAGAGGGTTGTAGTTAATGGAATATATTGGAAAGCTTAATCCACCAGCACCATGATAGTGAATGAACATCTGAGAGAAAGGAAAGGTAATCTAAGGCACAGGCTTGTTTTCAGGCTCCATTCTTGAGTATAGAATCCCACATGGCACATGGAGTCTTGTCCATAAGGGAAGGTGATGAATCTATTGGAGTCGCAAGGACTATTCATAAGTACATGATAGGAAAAAAACACATTTCGTCTGTCATGTTTAGTTTTGCAGTGTGCCCTCTCTCCCCCCTTCATGATGGCAGGAGAGGTCGAGTTGCTAATCATTCACCCAATGGCTTTTTATTGGTTTATCAGTCACAGATGTATGAGTTAATATATCTGCCACTCAAGTGGCTTAAATGGCTACTCTTACCAAAATAACCTGCTATAACTTACTGACGCAGGTTTATCATGCATGTGCAGTCTCACAGCTCAGTTCTCTGCCATTTAGGAGTCAAACCACTTTTAAATCTGTTTATAACGCACTAGTCACACCTCCCTACTGCACAGTGTGTCTGTGTCACATGCTCTTTTCTTCTGTTCTGTTGATTGAACCTTAATCACACACAGGAAGCTATTGCAGGCTCTAGCAGGCAATTAACAGAGCAGTCGCCAAGAAATTCTAAATTAAGCACACTGTGCAATAAAGAATGTTTTAAAATAGATCTATCTTTAAAGGAAGTGTTTAGGAAGGATGTGGGTTACATGCAGGGGAATGTATGTGTGTAAAATTATATAGATAGAATTAAAATTAACACAGTGAAAATGCTGATTATTGAACAGTACATACTGTATGTGTAAGCCCACTTATACTTACCTTAGCAGTCCGCCGATCTGCCGACGCTGAGATCCGGCAGACCGCCGCTACCACTCCCACGCAGCATGAGGATCCAGTCAGCCTCATGGATGCTGGTCGTTGTGTGCCCACCCACTTTTATGACGTGTCGCACGCGTGTCAGCGTCATGACGCCAGAGGAGCTCTAATCAATAGAGCTCAGCACACTCGCACCTTTTGGGGGCGTGGTTATGCTAACCACATCCCCCAACCATGTATAATCTCAGTCTGCCCAAGGCACAGTGCCCTGTTGTGGTCCCTAGTGTCCCAATAGCGCATCCTTTATCTATTTTGTATATTTTTGGCATTGACCCGGGTTGCTCTTGCCTTCTGTGTTTTCTGGCTCCCCTGACTACGCTTTTTCTCTCATATTGGTGTATTTCTGGCTCCCCTAACTCTGCTTTGTTTCTCGTATCTGTGCATTTCTGGCTCTCCTTGATCTTGGCTTGTTCTGACGTTGCTTGTATTGTATTCTATCTATCTGGCCATTCTAAGGATCGGTTTAGGGACCTTTTCATCTGTCTCTATTTCTTCTGGTGGATTTACATTCTGAGTGTTGGGTTATAATGTTACAGTAAGCTTGCTGACATTGGTCTCTCCATTATATTCCTATGCTAAACTGCATGCCTATTCTTATGAATTATATACAGGGTAGCATAAATATGAGTAATATATTCTTACAATAATATATATGTTTCCTTTCAGCATGTAATGTTCAAACATATATATGCATATTTGGAAATTAAACCTCTTTTGCAACCAGAAAGGATCATACATTATTTTTTTTGCCCATAGTTGAGGCAGTATTGACTGTACCACAATAAATTGATTACTCTGACAGTACTCCCGAATATAAAGTAGACTCTTGGAATAACAGGAAGAGCCAAATGAAGGTGTTTTGCTAAATTAAATGTGTTACATATTGCTTTAAAGCTATAAAATTAGTAATTAAGGTAATTATAAAATGACCATACCTAACATTGTTTATTGACATGCTTCCAATGTATTATGGCTTACTTACTACAGGCTCCATCTGACTATGGAACCAACCTCTCCCCCTAGACTAGCATCAGACCCTGACAACACTGCAGATCTTGTATTATCATCTAGGCTTAGAGATAGATAAATATGCTAACTGGCCAGATAGCAGCTACAAAGGAAGTCATGCTTGGCCTCTATACTAGCCACTCTGCACTGCAATAACTCAATGTTTATAGCAATCCAACAGTGAGCACACATGATGACAGAGATACCAGTGAAATCTGAGAATCGGAAGTATCCCAGAGGACATTACAAGCAAAATCAATATCCTTGGAGGGAGTAGTGACAATCTGCAGGGGCAACTCAAAATATTCTTGCCAAAGATTAATGTGAGGTGGACAAGGCACACTTATGTCAGCAATACACAATTCTGTGAGTCTTACCAGTTAATGTTATATAATGACATTTACAAATCAGCACTACTTTCTCAGAAGAAAAGTTATTACCTCCATGAGATTCCTCATAGTAATATGAGATGGTATCTGATATTTCAGGATTATTAAATTCATTAATTTATACTACTGTGATCTTCTGAACCAGTTAAAGGGCTACCCCAAGCACCTTGACAATTTCAGTGACTTGAAGTGGTCATGGTTCCTGGAGTCTGTATGTGCAGAGTTTTGAAACGCTCCACGTATGGAGCTGAAGATCTTTGCTGCTGGAGGTTTAACTCCATCCATGGTGGCATCATAGAGGAATAATTAGCCAGCCTGATACAACAATGAGGCTAATGACTTGGTGGGGAATAGGTAAGAGGAGAAACTGGTTTCACCCCAGTAATTCAATACCAATTATTTCAGGAGTTTGTATAGGGTTATAACATATCTCAATTTTAAGAATAGGTTTACTAAAATAATAATAAACGTGTTGGGCTTGTTTTACATTAATAGATGTGTGTGTGTTAGTTGTCTGTCACAGACTTGCCTGACATTGTGATTCAATGACCTGTCATAGATTTGACTTATGACCTAACATAGACATTAGTAACAGTGTGTGCTAGAGGCTGATCTTACAGAAACCTAATTGAAAGTGTCCCTGAGTGACCAGACTCTGAGGTGAGGGGTGAGGTGGGGGTGGAGGGGGCAGGGATGGAGGGGGATAATGAACACCAATAGATTGTGAATAGTAAAATAGATTGTATAGAGAAATTGCCAAAGAGGGAAACTATAGAAGTGAACATGGGACAAGGAAGCAAATTTACATTTCCTCTCAGATGGCAAAATATACACCTACAATATAGGCCCTAAACTCGCAATAATTAATATTGTATTGTGATCTTTATTAACTCCATTTTTTTGTAGCTGATTTGAGGGATTTGGGCTTTTTCCACATTACTTCCAGAACACACAAATGTAATACTAATGGTCTTATTTTTACAAATAGCTTGTTAGTGAATGGGGTTAGTGAAGGTCATTTTAAAGCTCCTTCTCAGTGACGATGTCACTAGGTCAATAAAGGTACCAGCAAACGGAAGACATTTTAAATTGACCTCATGAAAGAAGCACTGACATCAGTATAATTCCACGAACATGAGGTAAGAAGTGTTTCTAGTAATCTGTGTTTTTATTTCATTGTACTGTGTTTGTCAGGTGAGATGGTTCCACCCTGAAAAAGACACCAAAGCTGCTATAAGCTCCACATAAAATACATTTATTTGCAGTTGGTTTTTCTGTTCTAGTATTCATTTTTATCACTACATGTTTATGGTACACGACGACAAGAATGCTATAAAGCACTTTACACATTAATAGTTGTACTCTTGACTAATTTTACACATGGAATTTCCTTTTTGTTTAGATTCATAGAGACATCATAAATTTGACAGATCTGCTTTAAGGCATCTGTGCAGTGACAGTAACAAATATTGATGCCCTTTGGTTGCCCTTTGGTTACTGCCAAGGTGGTCACTTGGGTGCAGGAAGGAGGCAATGAAGTGAGAAGATACCATAAATGGAAAAATAGTGTTTTGAACAAACGAACAGATCACATTTTATAGTCTAGGGAAGGAAGATTAGCATGGATGTGCATGTGAGATTAAATTAAGTATAATCTCTCCAATTTTTCCCTTTTCAGTAATTCTCCCTTCACTCTCATACAGGCGGGGTATGCTTGTCTATGGGTGAACGTCTGAAAGCAAATGACAAATTCTTTCAAAACATACCTGCTAAAAATATATATTCTAAATTCATAAACTTTTAAGTTGCTTTGGAAAAGTATATAGTGTATAGTAAGTCCAACTTTTGTCTTGTTGCACCTATATGTTTGTTAGTCGGCCTATTGTACAGCCCTGCATAATTTTTTGGTGCTAAATAAATAATAATATAAAATAAAACATTTTGCACTGATTTCCCTAAAGTAATGAAACGGTTACAATAGTCACTAAATGTTCATTAAAACCTCCCAACAAGTCAGTGTATTTCCTCTTTAACAACAAACAAAAATAAAAACACACCATTGTGCATTTAAATATAATTTATTCTTTACTAGAGTTGACATAGCAATAGATGGAGACAAAAAATACACTAAGGAGAGAAATAACCCTCCAAATTCTAAGCCTTATAGCAAACACATTAAATTCATAAATTAAAAATTAGGTACATACCATCTCTTAAAATATATGGTAAAACCTTAAAAGAATATAACATTTTCAGGCTGGTAATAATATTACTCTTAGAATTATAATTTTCAATTCCTTTAACCGTGGTTATGTTACATTAAATTCTGACATTCTGGGGACATCTAGTGGTGCCTAATAGAACTGTGTTCAAAAGTCGCCTAGTTTTTTGCATTTCCATAAAACAGACCCAAACTAGGACTGACTTATTTTGATCTGAGGGCAACTTATCACAGCCCACGTACTTTCTTTATTTTGCATTGAAGGTTTTACACTAATAATATATTACTATAGTATTAGAATAATATAGTATACTATACTATAATTATATTGTATAACAATGACTAAAGTCTTACTCTGCGTTTGGATCCTCCACTAAAAATGTATGCTGCACTCCTACAGTCCTCTTTCCTTTTCAAAAGAAAACTACTTCAATATACTAATAACCACATTCTACCGCGGGCCCAAACGACTGTTTCATGCTTTTAACTCTCATCTTCATCCTGCCGTGCCTCCTCCTTCTACCAACCTGACCGCCACAAACTTTGAAACTGAAACAAGATTTTTACAATCAGGGAAGAGATCTCTCATCTCTCTCTATTACCAACTTTTACCCTAACCTCACTCCCTCAGCTGTCCTCTGCTCATTTGCACTCATTTATAGAAGAGGTTTCTGCTCTGCTCCGTTCCTCCAGCCCCATCACCTGTTCCCTTGTTCCTATTCTCTCATATCTCATCCACACTTTGTCTCCTTCTCTTGCTCTGCCTTTCACAAAAATTTTCAATCTCTCCATCTCCTCTGGCACATTTCCTCTACCCTTCAAACTTGCAACCGTAACCGCAATTTTGAAAAAGCCCAACCTTGACACTAATTCCCTGTCCAACTACTGACCTATCTTGCTACTACTGTTTGTCTCCAAGATCCTTGAGAGAGTTGTGTATGCGAGATTGACAGAGTTCCTCGAATCCAACTCTCTGCTTGACCTGCTTCAGTCTGGATTCCGCGTTTATCACTCTGCTGAAACAGCTGTGACCAAAGTATACAATATTATCACTGCTAAATCCCATGGCCACTACTCTATCCTAATTCTCCTCAACCTTTCTGCTGCTTTTGACACTGTTGATCATTAACAGCTTTTCCTGGAGCTACCATCCGCTCTACCTCTACGGCTCGCTGCTTAGGTTTTCTCTTTGACTCCGACCTCTCCTTCACCCCTCATGTCCAATCAATCGCCAAATCTTGCTGTGTCTTTCTCAAAAACATTGCACGCATCCTACCCTATTTAACGCCTGATACAGCAAAGGTGCTTGTCCATGCCATTGCCTCTCGCCTTGAATGCTGTAATCCGCTTCTCAGTGGTCTTACGTGTTCCCAACTTACTCAGTTACAGTCTATAATGAATGCTATGGCGAGGCTCATCTTCCCTGCTGTGTCATTTGCTACATTGGCTTCCTGTAAGATATAGGACTCAATTTAAGATCCTGATACGTGCTTACAAATCTCTACACAATGCTACTCCGACCTACTTATCCTAACTAATACAAAAATATGTCCCATCTAGGCCCCTATGCTCTGTCAGAGACCTGCGTCTAACCTCTGTTCGTACTCCTATCTCTGATGCTCACCTTAAAGACTTCTTTAGGGCTGCATCATTTCTATGGAAAACCCTTCCCCTCTCTGTTACACTTTGACCCAATCTCCACTACTTCAAAAAATCTTTGAAAACGTATTTCTTTAGGAAAGCATATCAATTAAACTGTGAACAACTTTCCCTCCCCACACCCTGATTCCTTTAAGCCCTCAATGAATACTATCTTAGCAACCTACTTTTCTACCCTACCCTTACCTTCTGTATCACTATACCCCACTCCCTCAGCATGTAAGCTCATTGAGCAGGGCTCTCAATCCGCCTGTTCCTGTGTCTCCAACTTGTCTGATTACAAATACGTGTCTGTTAGTCCACCCATTGTACAGCACTATGGAACTTGTTGACGCTTTATAAATAATAATCATAATATAGATCTGTTACGGCATATACGTTTTCATGGAGGTGTAGTTGCCACAAAAGTATTTTACAAGTGTGTATGAAATTCACTGAATAGGGGTACTGTTTAAAATATCAGTATACGGGGGGGCATGGCCAACCGAGCAGCCGACAAGACGCATATGTGTGGGGCTCCGTTACAACCAGGGCTAGCCTTAGGGGTTTGCAAGCTGTGCGGCCGCACAGGGCGCCACGGAGCAGGGTGCGCAATGTGGCCAACACAGCTCACACATGCCCGGACAGGATTAAAAAAATAATAAAAAATTTGCGGCTGGGTGTGGCTTCCTGTGCGGCAGGGCGGAGCTTCCTTGCAGCGGGGCGGAGCTAAACGTGCCGGATAACTGCTGCAGGGGAAGCAGGAAGGAGTCCCTGCTTCCCCAACAAACAGTCTCCAGGAGCTGCACTGCCTCCACAATAAATGACCCAATCCCCTCCTCTGGCACATATAGCATGTCTCAAAACTGTCCCACTTTCAGCAGTGCAGTTCTGATTTTAGGAATACTTATCCCGCTGTCCTGCTTTAGTTCCCTGGTGTCCTGTATCTCAATGATTTTTAAAAACATTGAATTAATCTAAATATTTCATTTTACATGCTTTATTTTAAAAAGCATAAGATGAATACCCCCTCTTCCTAATAATTATTGGTAAAATGAAACATTACCAGAATAGTGAGGTTGAAAGGACGCTATCGTCACCCAGAACCTCATCTCATTGAGCCCATCCCCCTGTCCTGACTCTGGCCAGCAGGTGGGCATATTTAATAAACTAAATGGGTGGGACATCCTAATGTCTCATCTCTGGCCCCACCCAGCTTCAGCTATTACATTGCGTGGGAATATTTCCCATACTTTGCAACATACCGTATATACTCGAGTATAAGCCGAGTTTTTCAGCACATTTTTTGTGCTGAAAAAGCCCCCTTCGGCTTATACTTGAGTCAGGATCTGTATTATGGCAACTTACATTGCCATAATACAGACCAGGACCGCCGGGCTCCTTGGGGGAGGGAGGGCGGCAGCAAAACAAGCTTGTAATGATCCCGGCGGTCCTGGCCTATATTGTGGCAATGTAAGTTGCCATAATACAATCCGCACGCAGACCACGATATTTACACTGGGAGATGAAGGGAGATGCTGCAAAGGTAAGTAACATCTTAAATTCACTCTTTACTGAATTAAATAATTTTTAATATGCGGAAACAAATCCACCTGAACATTTGGATTTTATACACAAGAAAATAAAAGGTACAATTTCTAAACTCAATTAAAAAAAACAAAAAAAAAAAACAAAGCCCTTAGAACTCAGCATAAAAGTAAGTGAAAATACAGCTTTCATCTGAAATAAAACATAATTCATCAGGTAATTTAGGAAATTACTTGATATACTGGTAATTAACATGTTAAGGAAAAATTAAAAGGAAAATTGCAAAAGAAAAAATTGTTTTAGAATGAAATGTCTACATCCTTTTCATTGCAAAATATCAGCAGTTGCTGTCTCCAGGTGGAAGCATTGCACGGAGGTGGGTGTGCAGCAGAAGTCTTTGAATAGATAGCTGAATGTCTTTTCAGAAACGCAGGTGGTTCCACAGAAAGAGAATTTCCATCTGTTTTCACGGGAACATCAATAATATATATTTACAATCAGCATCTGATTCAAAGGACAGACACTGCCAGACTGCTCCTCTCACCTCTCATCCTTTGCCACCTTTTTGTAATGATAATTGCAATTCATTTTTAGCTACAGTGATATTACGATGGACAGACTTCAAATATTAGTCTGCACATCAAGAGAAAAAAGTGAGCTTGTACATCTCTGTAGTTGACTTGGAATGTTCTGTGTATTCTTTCAAGAGTTCAGTGTGATTTGCAACGGCCTACATACGCCAAGAGACTCTGCAAGAGACTAGCAAGATCATAAAAATATATGAATATTCTGTTTACTACACATACTTGTCAGGCACCATAACGTGGAACATCAGTGCTGTGCAAAAATGCTTTACATCTAAGCTTTTGTATGGGAACATTTCAGCTATCCATAATATGTTTTCTTTTTGGAATATATTTTATTTACTAAACAAGAGACATTGGGGTGGCAGCGTTCCTTGCCAGCTAAGCAGTTATTGGAAAATTAAGATCTGCATATTTGGCTTGGGGAGTGATGGTCTGCACGGAGGCTGATGGTGGAATATGCAGACAGCGCTGGACTCTGGTTTAAAGGTCTTAAAGAGGGGAGTTGCTGAGTTTAATCTCTGGGGCATGAAAGTCACAATTGCTGCCACCCAGGAGTAGTTCAGTTTGAGCGCAGGGCTCAATTTTGTATTTTTGTATTTGCTTTTGAATTACACAGTCATGTTACAGTGCTGCTGCCTACCCCATGTGTCCCCTATTAAGAGTTAATGAATATGTAGGATTTAGAACATTTTATAAAATATCACTTTCAGTCTCATGAGATATTTGACATTTTGGCTGAAAGCAGGAAGGTGAATTCTTAATGTGGCAGTTGAGCTTATACTGTAATGGCCACTGGAGTGATACTAAAAAACTTCCAGTTATTTAAATGTGCAAAGGGATTTGGGATAGGGCGCAAGTCATTTTTTTTCTTTGTTAATTATTTTCTAATTTAATGTTTCTTAACTAGTACATAGTAGTAAATAAAATATGAAAAGACAAACAAACCTGAGGAACACTTTTACTGTGGTTAACCCAAAGATTGGAGAAGTAAACAAGAGAAAGAATGAGTGTCCTTAAAAAACAACTTTTAATAGTAATTCTAAAACGTTTTTTGAACTTACCTATCAGAGTGGTCACTCCACTAGATAACCTCGGTCAGTTCCCACACATCGGTTCCCCTCTGATGAGTTGTGGGTGAAACGCACGCGTCAGGGGAACTTGGTTCCTAAGACTTTATACTTACCTTATGTGAAATTAGAATTGATCTTCATGTCTCAGGATCCAGAGTATGTGTTACCACTATGGACTATGACTATTCTGGGGTATTAAGTTATATATTATTTGGTATCTAGCCATTTCATTAGTCAGTGTGACTTAGGACACTTCAAATCAGATATTATCCTATCCCCATAACATTAGTGGTTTTACACTTTCTGTTATCCACAGAAGCTGCACTTTGAGCTTTCTGCAGCAACTGGCGTTTACTTTATAAGTGTATTGCATATATCGCTTAGTATTTATTTATGAGTTAGGTACTTTAAAGATATTTGTGCAGTACCTCTTTCTATTTTCATCAATAGATACAGGCAGTGGTGTATCCTGGTTTTGTGCTGCCCTCAGGCGTCCCGCCACCCCCACCCCACCTTCTAAATACACACACACAGTCAGACACACACACACAGTCAGACACAAACACACACACAGTCAGACACAAACACACACACACAGTCAGACACACACACACAGTCAGACACAAACACACACACACAGTGTCAGACACAAACACACAGTCAGACACAAACACACACAGAGACACAAACACACACACACACAGTCAGACACAAACACACACAGTCAGACACAAACACACACACACACAGTCAGACACAAAGCCACAAACACACACACACACACAGTCAGACACAAAGACACACACAGTCAGACACAAACACACACACACACACAGTCAGACACAAACACACACACACACAGACAGACACAAACACACACACAGACAGACACACACACACACACACACACACAGTCAGACACAAACACACACACACAGTCAGACACAAACACACAGACAGACACACACACAGTCAGACACAAACACAATATCACTCACATGAACCTTTATTTAATTTAACCCCCCCAGCCTCCTTACGTTTGGGAGTGCTTGGGGGGCTCTCTCTCCCTGGTGGTCCAGTGGCTGCTGGGCGGCGCTGGCTGCTATGCGGGCGGCTAGCGAGGAAGCCCTTCCCCTGAGCTGACTGCTCAGCTCCCTCGCGCGCCGCAGAGTGAGGCTGGGTGCCGGAAAATGACGTCATCTTCCGGTTCCCAGCCTCACTCTGCGGGCGCGAGGGAGCTGAGCAGTCAGCTCAGAAGAAGAGCTCCCTCGCCAGCCACCTGCCAGCGCCGCCCGCCCGCTCGGGATGTCTGTTAGCCGCGAGCCTAACAAGGCATTTGCCCTGGGCATTTGGAGGCGGCGTTTTTTGCCGCCCCCTGAAAAATGCCGCCCAAGGCAAATGCCTTGTTTGCCTTGCGGCTAATACGTCCCTGGGT